AGAGAGAGAGAGAGAGAGAGAGAGAGAGAGAGAGAGAGAGAGAGAGAGAGACATACCGGCTTGTTGTTGTTGCTGGTGGCTGTAGCCACGATCGTGAAGAACCTGTGCACATCATTTCAAATGGTAATTAAGTTTTGTGTTTGCTCACATCGAGTGGCTCTTGCTGTTGCTAGTTCGAACTTGGTCCAGGTCGGACGGATTGTTGCACTATGTCAGGATTGGGTACTATATGTGTCTGCTGCCTGCCTTGTATGTATTTGGTTCTAATCTATCGACAATGACATTATGCTGATCCTTATCAGACTACTTGTTGATCGATGCAGGTTAAGGTGTCTCTAATAAACTCACTTTACCAGAAGACTTTGGGGTTGAGCACTGCAGCCCGGCAGAAGAAGTCTGTTGGAGAGACCGTCACACTCATGCAGGTTGGTTATAGTCACATCTTGCTTGCATTGAACACCTTGTTTTGATATGAAGATGAAGGGAAAAAGGTGTGGAAAAATGATGGAATAGTAGAAATGATCGCCAGGAGAGAAGCTGTGGGCTTCTTCTTCTTCTTCTTCTTCTTCTTCTTCTTCTTCTTCTTCTTCTTCTTCTTCTTTTTCTTCTCCTCCTCCTCCTTCTACCATACCCACTTTGTCACTGTGTGAGGCTGTGAGCCATATTCATGTGGATTAGTTGGTTGATTGGCATTACTTCTCAGACCATTCCTGGTGCTTGGTGAGTTATGTTCCTGTTGGTTGTTCGGCATTGCTTCTCAAACCATTCTCGGTGCATGGTGATTTATATTCCTATTCTTCAGTCGACTGTGAGATTTGATGCAAAAAAAAGAAAGGAAGACTGCAGGCTGTGTTTGCTCGTCACTGTGGCTCATCGGTGAAAACACGCTGTGTGTACGAAGGGTCAACAACTATTTGGTTCAGTGAGGAGGTAGGTACCATCAGCGGAGGGGCACTCAAGGCTTCGGATGGGAGAGAGGAGTCATGAGGACACACTCTCAGAATGTCTAATGACTCGTTGCTAGCCCCTTAGCATTTTATGACGCTGCTCAAAAATCAAAGTGCTTTTTTATTTTTATTTTTATTTTTTTTCTTCATTTTTGGAGTCCTAACCCTAAACCAAGGTAAGGTCACTACGGTGAACGGAGCTGTGTACCAGACTCAAGCACAGAGCCAAAGCAAGTGCAACCTTGGTGGAACCATTCTTGTTAGCTGCAGCCAGACACTTTCCTGGATGTATCTGACCCACACTATAGCCTGAACTGGATCTACCTGACCGCAATTAAGTCCATAGGGGGACCTTCCGCGTTAGCTGAAGCCAGACTGTCCTCAAAGCCAGGCCACAATTAGAGGAGGAAATCTCTGAAGTGGAAGGTTCATGGAAGCGTCGTCGATGGGATGGTTGCTGTCTCTTCAGTTGGTGTAAGAGCATACTTAGTACTTACACTAGGAGTTTTTTTTTTTTTTTTTTTTTTTTTTCCCAACACTAGGACTTCCCTGGATGCATCTGACTGGAACACGAGCCTGACCTGGATGTATCTGACGGCAATGACGTCTGGAGCTCAGTTGGAAAAGTCCTACCGTCTTCACCCGAATAGAACACCCGGTCAATATAGCTGTATTTGACACAAATTTCAGCCCAGATAGGGCGATAATTACCGGGCGTTCTATTCCTGTGAAGACGGTAGTGTGAGTGTGCTGTAAGTCATGGGAAGATTTCGTTTCTGATTGGGTGTGAACTTTGAAGGAGGAAAATCTTATCGCATGTCCTTTGGGACATCTGTTGAACTTTAAGTCAGAACGATACAGAGAATATTAGCAAGAACCCTGCACAAGGACAACACGCATAAATTTCTAAGAAATTGTCAAAATTAGAAAAAGAAAAAAGAAAAAGAAGAAGGAAAATCTCAGCAGACGACACAGAAAAAGGAGAAGGAAGTGACGATTATTCCTAACGGTGCTCAGTCCTTTCGTTGATGGTGAAGGTCGATGCTGTGAAGGTTGGTGATGTCATGCCATTTTTGCACGGGGTATGGAGTGGGCTTCTTCAGGTGAGTGTTCTTTCCTTTTCCCCTCCGCTCTTCTGCTTCGTTTGTTATCATTTTTTTTTTTTTTTTTGCATGTTTTGGACTTTTTGAAGTTTCTTCAGTGTACAGTTCCGGAGATATCTCCTTGGTCACCACCACAGCCACCCTCACTTACTATCCTCACCTACCACCACCAGTACCACCACAAGCATGACTGATGCAGATACAATGGTGAAACCTTCCAGCCTTTCGTTGACGTGTGCGGCCTTTTACTAAGGAGTATAAGGACTGATTCAAAATGAACGAGTTTATCGTCATATCGACAAATCTGCAAACATCTTTTATTTGTTTTTATTTTCATATCTCTCACACACACACACACACACACACACACACACACACACACACACACACACACACAGAGAGAGAGAGAGAGAGAGAGAGAGAGAGAGAGAGA